TCATTGGTTTTCAGGCAATCAACAGTGACAAACTGTTGGCAATGATCCTGGTAGATAGAGGTTATTACCAATCTATCAGGGGAATGTAATATTGTCTCCAAAATCTGACTTAGAGTACTTTTGTATAAAGACGAGTTAGTCACTTTGTGAAAGTTTGTAAAATATTGTAAAGTTATTTCAATTTTTCAATAAAGACAAGCCATCATGGCATGATTGCGGGTTAAAAAAAAAAAAAAATAAATAAAATAAAAAAAAAAAATAATTATATACTTCAACCTACGGATCAATAGTACAGTGGGTACACTTCCAGGTCACCATCTATGAGTTACTAGTTCAATTCCACCTAGGAACAGTTTTTGCAATATAGATTACATTGTACAGGATGCATGCTCTCACTATATGTACCCTTGTACTCATAAATAGCCTATAGATTTTCAACATCCAACCACAGTATAAAATTCAGGTTATCCATGTCTTGGCCAAATTTAGCACTAAGAAAATTCTTGATAAACCTGCCACTTAAAATATGTAAGGATTCAAGACAAGCCAAGAAAAATGCCAATCAGTTTAAAGCCTTTTAATAGAAATAGGAAGGACATCTATCTTTTGTCAAAACTATACCCTTTGGGAAATAAGGGAGACTTTGGTCATTTGTACCTGTCAAAAATGTAACGGGCCATAACAATAATCAATGGAAGATCTCTATGATCATAAAACCAACAGCTACCTAAAAGAGAATAGACATTGCGAAGACTGGTAGTTAGTGTTAATGCCACATTGGACAATCTGCAGGGGCAGATATTGGGAGAAGAAATTTGGAAACAATCACCAAGGTAACCAATCCAATAGGAGAAGCAATTTGTACAAAGTAATCAAGAGAAACCTCTGTAAGGTCAACTTGCAAGAGTAGTTAAAAATGAGGCAATGGAAGGCTATATGCTATCCAATTACATAATACCATTGAATCACCTGGATATCAAGAACATGGATGGATACTTGCGTCATCTAAGTTTCAATTAGTATGTAAAGGATCCAAACATAGTAGAAATCATTTATGGTACTCACGACCATCAGCGGTAAACAAACCCCACCAAGGAACACACAACACAGCCCCCTGAAGATTAATAAAAAAGAAGTCCATAGTGAAACTTCAGTACGCTATAGTCCCAGGCAGAGCAGGACAACTGACAAAAATAGTACCATTATATGATAAAATTGATAGACTTAGCTAGAATAGGTAGTTAAAAATAAGGTTATATAAATTGTTCATGTAATTTAAAAAATGTATTACTGATTCCTCAATAAAGATTTGTCCTGTCAGTTGGATTAGTTAAAAAAAAAAATAATTATATACTCTCATTCAACACTTTTTCAAAAAATAAAATTTCTTTATAAGGAAATTTTTACAAAGTAAACAATTAAGTGGAGTTTTTATATATAAACCAATATTATGATAAACATTTTTGTAAAGATTAGTCTTTCCTATGATACTGTTTTTAAATATTTGGGACCAATTAAACAATTATCTTAAGTCAAGAAGCTTTTCATAAAATAGATAGAAAGAGTCTTCTCTATTTGTTTCAGTAACTCTAAATGAACTGCCACTCTATCTAACAAATAAACATTGGCTCTTTTAAAAAGAAGAAAAAATGAAGACTATGCAAAAATCAGTTTCAAGGAGGAAAAAAGTCAGGTCTATCTACTTACAAATAGCTGAAGTCAAACAACCTCCACCTTTAAAGACATACAAGTATACAGTTTGTGAAAAAAACTTCAACAGTCCCTTGGCAAAAAAGAGACACTTCAATAGTATATACAAACCAATAGCTATGGAAGTTAAGATATCAAAAACTTCAAAAAAGAAATGAAAAGTCACACATCTTACTACTGCAGACAATGCAACAAAACTTATTAATATCAATATTGATAATCTCAATACAGATACAGTTATTGGTACTATCAGATTATCAGGACAAGATAAATCAGGTAATTATTTGTTTTATCTCAATTGTAAATCAATACCTGGTAGCTCATTTTTAGTAATGAATTACAATTCTGTTAACTATTCTTTTGGTTTAGTTGTAAGGGGCTATGCTACATGTGAAACCTTATTTATTAGTCAAAAAAATGATTTTATTAAAGATTGGATAAATAAGGAAATTCTTGATAACAAATTGTACTTTAAATACAAGAGTATCAAAAAATATTTTTATTTAGACAAGTCTAACACAAAAAAGTAAACTATACACTAGTCATATATCTATCAACATATACTTATTGGGGTTTTGCAAATTTAGTAATTGGAAGACCTTGGTAAGAAAAGAAATTCATTAGCACTATACTGAAATGTCAAAAATCTTTGATACAGATTAAAGTATATAATAGTTTGATAATAAAATTACTTTAAAAATTTGTTTTAGAAAAAATAAAGATAGTATACATATTCTTTCTTATTAGTTGTTACATATAATAATTATATGTTTAAATAATTTTTATTATACTAAAAAAAATCTAGCCATAGTTATATAATTAGTTTATATAATAATATTGCAATATATAATATATTACTTATATTGATATATGAGTTTTGGTATGCTTAACATCATATAATATATTGAATAAAGAATATGGACCATATACCAAGAAATAATAGCAATAATTGACAACAATATTGATTGTAGCATCAAATAGGAACTCACATCATACATAACAGTAAATAATATGTGGAACAAGATCATTATGAGAGACATTAGCAAAACTATCCTAAATATTATTGATAAATATATCAAAACTGACAAAATAGTAGAAACTATCAATAGTATTTGTAATACCATCAGATTCTAAATATATAATATCTGGATTAATAGATATGAACACCTATACTATTGAAAAAAACTTTAAAGAATATTATTCAGGAAAAAAAGAAAGAACTATAAATAGCTTTTCAAAAAAACAGAGTATAGAGAATCTATTTTCAACAAAACAAACATATACTCTCCAAAACTTATACTCAATATTCTCCATAGAATCCACAATATTTTCAAAATCTATAAGAAACATACTAATGGCACCTAGATATGTTAATTCCTAATGAGGACAATATATCACAAGGGTTCAAAAGTGGAGTCCCACTGCCAATAGTGATGGATATCCATTAGACCAGATATCAATTGGTTTTATTGTAACTATGTATATTAGACACATGGGAAAAATGTCTATAATATAACCTTTACTTGACAAAGTAACATATATTTATATATAAACTCAATAAAATAAGTATTGTTACATGTTTAAAAAAAAAATAATAATAAATAACTATATACTTTTAATAATTTGTTTGACAATTAATAACTTGCTTAAAAAAAAATATTAAAAGTTATAAAAAACTAAAGGTACTAAAATTCTAGATACTATTAATTCTATAGATAATAAATAAGAAAAGTTCAGAATTTGAATAAATATTATTATTGCATGTTTAAAAAAAAATAATAATAATAAATAATCATATACTTCTAATAATTTGTTTGTCAACTAATAATTTGCTTAAAAAAAAAGATTAAAAATCTAAAAAAACCAAAGGTATTAAAATTCTAGATACTGCTAATTTTATAGATAATCAATGGAAAAAGTTCAGGATTTGAACAGATATTATTCTTTCTAATCTTAAAGATCAAGTATATATAGAGTTTACAAGTAACTTCAACTTATTACAAATATTAGATAAAACTTGACACCTATTAGAATTTGTTATTATTAGAAAAACTTTCAAGACTCTCAAAATCAAAATGAGTATATATTGTTATGGGCTAGATTAGTGAGTCTATGACTAATTTGTAATATCTTATATAATTCAAACAACTAACAATAAACTTATAGTTATACTAAAAAAAAAAAATGTTTTTTGTAAAGAATATTTAAGGAAGATAGAAATATAATGATTAATTAACCAAGGATAAGTGTTTTTTTATTTATATTCTATTTTTTTATATAATACTAACTATTATTTCTATTCAATAAAAACGATTTTTTTTATATCTAGCATTACTTTTTTGATTTATATTGATAGGTTATTTATGTTTTTTTAATTAATAATGGGTTATCTACTATATAATAGTCTATGTTAACTTTAAACTTTACTAAACTTTCTATATTTTATTACATATACATAGTTCTTTTATTAGTATCTTAATTCATAGTATCTTATTTTGCAACACTCAATATTATATACCAAACTTTCATTTTTAGATTCTAGATCTATTATATATAAATCACATTATCCATATAACCTTCAATATATTAACTAGAAAAAAAATTTTTAAGTCAATATATTATTTCTAAACAAGATTTCAAAGCATATAGAGAAACTAATAGGATTTATAATCTACTTAAAAAAGCTTAGGCAATATAAGAGCCTTTCATTAAAAAAAAGATTTCAATAATGATCAATAGGTTTTATGTTCTATGTGATGATATATTCACTTAGGATTTATCATTTCTTTAAAATACAACTAATATTGAAATCTAGTTGAAACAAATTATCTTAGAAGTAATCAAAAATAAATATCCATCCTAGCTCCATTCTACTTCTTTCTGGATGTTTGGAAAAAGATCCATCTATATATATCAGTAGATTATCCAGTTCATCTACTTTTTTGCTATATTTATTAATTGGTCTAGAAGTTTTTGATTGAATTACTTAATATTGAATTAATTTTGGTAAACCTAGCAAGAACTTAAAAGAACTTGATTCAAAAGTTCACATTGAGATCTAAAGGCCTTAATTAAAATCAAATTAATAATAAGTCGTCGACCAACACTGTATAGTAACGTGAAAAGTCACGTCAAAGACGAAACTTTTATTATAATGAAAGTACAAATATACTGTATGATGATCGTTTAGATCTTGAAAAATCACATGATGTACCTGATTGCATTTAGGAATCATTTTGCTAAACTTAAAGATCTTCCTTTTTTTTTTTTTTTTTGAAAATGAAGCACAATAACATTCTTCCGAATGCTCATTTTCACAAGGATTGGCAGTTGCGTGTTAAGACTTGGTTTGATCAGCCAGGACGCAAAAAGAGGAGAAGAATTAACCGCATTCAAAAAGCCGCTCGAATCGCACCACGTCCTACCGAGCTTTTAAGACCGGCAGTGAGATGTCCTACAGTTAAATATAATACTAGATTGAGGGTTGGTCGTGGATTTACCCTTGATGAACTTAAGGTCAGAATAGATAAATCTCTTGCATTAGAAGAAATGTCTCGGAGATAACTCATTTAAAAGTCAATATATGAATAAGCAATTCTTATTAAATAACTATTTCGGATTGCTGATTTGTAACTTGAACGAACACATTTATTCATTTTTTTAAAAGTAATTTTTTTTTTTTACTTGATAGGCGGCAGGCATTCGTCGCAAGGAGGCACTTACGATTGGAATTCCTGTTGATCACCGACGCAAGAATCGATCAGAAGAATCCCTTCAATATAATGTCCAGCGATTGTTAGCCTATAAGAGTAAACTTATTATCTTCCCTCGGAAATCTAAATCTAAAAAGAAGGATATTTCGGAGGTACATATTATTTCTTATTCAGAAAATTGAAATTAATTAATTAATTAATTAATTTTTTTTTTTATTTGGTTTTTTTTTATACAAAGCCTGCTGAAATTGCGACTGCCACTCAGCATAAGGGAACTGTCTTAGCAATTCAGCAAACGTGGCCTGAAGAGGAGGCACGTGCTATCACCGAGGAAGAAAAGGCAATTAGTGCTTACGCTACTTTGCGTAAAGCTAAATCTGATGCCCGCCTCGTTGGTGTACGTGAAGTTCGTCGTAAGGCTAAGGAAGAGGAAGAAGCTAGCAAGAAAAAATAAATTTCCCTTTAAATTTGATATTACAAAGCTGAAGGGTGTTTGTGTTCGAAAACCAATGTTTTCTAGGTGGTAATAAATTATATGCGGCCTTTTGTAAAACCAATAACCAATAATAATCGATTGACTTTCGAACAACAAATGAGACACAAAAATCTACTTACTAATCATCAAAGTTGTGTATAGTTCTAAATATATTAAGCGTTGAAACACTTTATATAAAAGAAACATTCTTTTTAGAAATAATAAAAAAGCAACCGACTTTTTTAAACATAACAATTATAATTAATTATTAAACATACTGTATATGACATTGAGATAAGTTTTTTTTTTTTTAAATCCAAAATCATGGTGTGTCTTTATTGAGACATTGAGTAAATATTTAATATGTTACAGACTTTCACATGGCAACTAGCTTAGTATTGTACATTATTAATTAAAGGACTGTATTACTTAAAAAATATGAGGAGTTTTTTAAGCTAGTTAGGATTAAACAAAATTAAGTTTTGATCAGATACTCTAAGTTAAATAGGAAACAATATTATACTTTTAATAGTTTGATACTTGATCACTAATTATTAAGATTATAATTAAAGATTGTTATTGTTAATTATTTCAGAAAAACAATAAATTGTTAAATTAAGAGTTGATATAAGATATTCTATAATTAAACTATTTTTTTTACTTTATTCAAGTATTTTGTCTTTTTTTTTTTTTAAACCCATGGTCAAGTTAACATTGTGTGTTTATTAATCTTAAAAAAAATTGATAGAGATACATTGGGCAATTATATTATGGTTAAACTAAATCTTATGTGATTCACTTGTCAATAACTTTCAATTCTCAAATAAGCTTAAATCTCTAAGTAAGACCTTGAAAACAATATTTCACTTTGAAATAAGTTTTGGATAAAGACCCTTCTAACTTACCCATCATTATCAGCAGGTTTTTACTATCTATTATCCTTTAAGAAACAAATTTCAAGAAACTACAATAGGAAAAAGGAAAAATAATAGAAAGAAGAATATCTAAAAATACACAAGTGTACTTACATAAAGAGAAAAGAAAAAAAAATAAACAAAAGTGCTCCATGTTCTTCAAAAAACCTTTGCTAAAAATCTCCTTTCAATAGAAACCAATCTTTCTGAAATATTCTTCTTCTTTCTAACCATCTAAAGAACTTATCCATTTATAATCTTGATTATTTTTTTACAACTATCTGAAGTATTTATCATTTACTCAGATTTAGCATCTTGCTTGTTACTTCCTTTCTTTTGGTATTGATTTTATATTCATCCATATAGACCTTAATAGTTTATAGTAAACTCCAGGCTTTTATATGACCTTTTAGTCATATTATATAACTACTGATATTTTCCAGTAGCTATGTCTAATTAAAGGAATTTTACTAGTAAGTATCTTCCATTGTCCCAAAAATCAAATTCCTTAACAGTTTTTTTGCTTTGCAATAGTAAGAGGGTCTTGCAGAGTATAGAGATCCTCATTGATTATAATATCATTACACAATGTCTAAGGAAATACATTCTCAATTCTAAAGAAGGATAGTGACTCACAGTCTTTTACTTTTCAATCTTATTGCTTGATCGGGTTAAGAAAATAATCTTTTTTGTATACTTTGCCTAATCAGAATAATAGGAAGTTGAAAATCTCAGCTTGAACAAATAACTACTTTTTCATCACCTAGAGAATTTAGTGCTTGTCCTAATAGTCTCATGATTTCTTTGCTTTGGTTACACTTCATTTGAAGCAATGGAAAATTTTCATCAATAGATTCTCTTTTGTTCACCAATGACATCATCAGAACATGTAAAGTAATCAATAGGGATTTGTTTATATTTAGTTACTAACATGTTTCATATCTACCAATCATATTTTGCAATAAGCTGTGTCATCTAAAATTTAGGATCAAACTGAGGTAAGCAAAATTCCATAGAAAATTAATAAAAATTTTGGATAACTATAAG